TGCACCCGGGTCTGCTGTGGCTTTGTTACAGTTCCTTACTTATATTAAGTTCTGATATGATCACAAGTTTACAGACCTGGGGTCAACCATCCAAAGCAACGCACAGCGCACACGAGAGATGAAGACGGTGGAGATTTGTGACAGAGGGGAGCAGCGAGAGTGAAACAGGTTCACCAGATGGCAGAGAGAGACTGTGGCACTGATGCAAACACAGGAGGCTCGCGCGAAGATGCTCAAATTTACACATGTTGGTTTGTTTTAATTAGAGGAGACTTTCTGTAATGTTGATGAAACAATATTTACCGTGTAAATCCCCGGATTTTATCACCATCTCTACGCAAACTTGTTATCTTGAAGTTTTGCATGTTTGCATAGAGTCAGTGTGTTCATCCATCCATGTGGAAGAGGCGTTTTATTTAGAAAGTGCAGACTGTGACCACGGCGCCCCTCTAACATTCTCCCACAGCCCCACGGGACCGAGATACGCGTGAATAAAGCTCATCAGCAGCGTCATGGTGCATATTCACAGCAGACGGAGGGAAATGAAGCTGCGTCCTTCTAGAGGACAACACTGTTCTTACTCTTCACAGCACTGGAAACTTTATATGTTACATGTAATCTGGATACTTTTAGTTATGATGGTTCAACATGAACATGCTTCATTGCTCTTAGCATTCAAAGACTCTGTCACACCTCTCGTACACACAGATCCAGTGTTGCAACACTGCTTACCCGCTGCGGCCGCTTCTATCTGGGCCATGTGTGACTCGAGCACCTTCGGGTCCCTGGAGCTGTAGGGTCCCAGCTCGGGGTAGAAACTCGAGGCAATGTCATCCGGAGGCGTGTGCTTTCCTTGAGCGTGGCTGGCTGCGATCTTCGGGTCCCAGTGTGGCACCAGCACGTGATCCCAGTGGATGTACTTGTTGTCCACGCTGGGAGAGCCGTACCACAGGTAGTAGAAGATGTGGACGTCGTAGAAAATGCTGTACTCCCGGTCCGACCTGGTGAAAACCACCTTGGTGTCGCTGCTGCTCATGTGGAACTGACCCGGGGAAACCACCACGTCTTTCACGTCCAGCCGCCTCCTCTCTGACCTCTCCCCGATGAAATCCATCCCAGGAGCCAGGTCCGAAAAGCCGTCGCTGGGTTTCAGCGTCCTCAGGCCCATCATTGTCCCAAAAATGAAGAGCGTGAAGAGGAAGAGCGCAACCAGCGCTTTCCTGCGCAGCCGAGTCATCGTCGCTGTCCGTGGTTCTGCCGCAGGAAGAACACGCGATCCAGGAGCCAGCGAGGGGCCGACGCTGGTTCTCCTCAACGCCAGCCAGCCATCCTCTCACAGCGGAGCGGAAACAGGAATGAACGCATTCAGGAGCAGCAGCTGGTGCGTAATGGAGTCTGCGGGACGAAGATCGCCGCTCTGCTACCAGGACCCGCTGCTGCTGCAACACAGCGCCTCCTGCTCGGCCATCACGCTCTCACCGCTGATTCACATCCAGGAAAAAACACCTTTCCTCCGTCTCCACTGAAAACACGAGCTGTCCGCTCACAGAGGAGCCTCGGTACCTTTGTGTTGCATCCAGCCGATGCTCGGCGCTCCCCGCCTGCCTCTCTCTCCTCCTCCTGCAGCTGCTCCTCCGCTCAGAGACGGGCCGTTTGTTGAAAGTGCTCCGGTTCTGTCCCCAAACCGTAAAACAACCAAAGAGAAAAATAACCTTTTATTTGACTGCACAAATCAAAGACGACAGAATGGAGCGTTTGTTTCTTCAGTACTAGCAGCACGGAGATAAAGCCCGACCGGAAAGACGTGTATGAGGGGCGACCAGTGGGCGACAGAAGCAGGAGGTGGAGCTAAATGATGCTTTACAATAAGAGGACATTAGTGATGGGATTTCCGGATCTTTATAGAGATCCGGATCTTTCGGCTCGACTCACTAAAAAGAGCCGGCTCTTTCGGCTCCGAACCGGCTCTTCAGGTTGTTTTGTTGCTTTAATTATTTAACCATTAACAATAATATAAAATTATGCAGAAAAGGAATTACTAATGTTAAAAAAAATGGTTTTAATTATATATGTTTATATATGGCCCCTAGAGACAAAGCACGTACAAACTCTAAAACACATTTCTAGCGTTAACTGAACTTCCAAAACAGAGTTACCCAGATCACTTAAATTACACAATTGAAAGCATGTGTGTATGGTTTGTTCATTTACCTGTTACTACCACACACCAAATCCGGTTGTTGATACTTCCTGGCTTGTGTAGCCACTAGGTAACAAAAGCTCAACACTGCGCCCTAGTGTCCTGGAGCACTTCTGTTGACTTTTGTACGTGATTCTGAGTTTGTACGTGCTTCTGAGTTTTTACGCGTTTTGAAGTTTGTACATGCTTTGTCTCTAAGGTCCACCATAAATATACTTTATTTATTCACTCCACATAAAATGTAATAAATAAATCATATAATACAAAAAACAACTATTTACATTTTAAATTTTTAACTATTTAAATTTTCAGCTTTTCCCTTTTAAACAAATTTAACGTGATTTATTGCAAACCACAACACAATTAAATATAAATTAAAATATGAAAACAAAAAGAAGATGCACATTCTCTGTCATATGGGCCTGCATGATTTCTGAATCCTTTATCATCTGCAACTGAAAATAGTGGATGATTACTATACCTTTCTAATGTGATGTTGTTGTCCCTCGCTCTCTTTCTCAGCGCAAAGTACAGGCCGTGTGGGGAGTTTAGCGGAAAAAAGGGCGAGAGAGAGGGTGAGAGAAAGGAAAAAAAAAAACAAAAATCCTCACAGTTCCCAATAAGGAGCCGGCTCGCGTCGTTCACTTCAAAGACCCGGCTCTAAGAGCCATTTCGTTTGCGAACGACCCATCACTAGAGGACATTTCTCCAGAGGAAGTGTGGCCTGTAGATGTGTTGGCACTTCTATAGATGTGAGCTACGTTTGGATAGAAAAAGAACTTTGTGAGGATTAAAAATACTCCCAAAACATCATGTTTGCTTAAACGTTACACTGTCCTCAGTGTGTAGTGTTGCTTGTGTAGTGCCGCGTGTGGGCTCACAGTCCGAGTTTTCTCCAGAGGTCAGCTCCAGGATTGACGTCTGGACCTGGCTAAGTGTGGCTGACACTGGAGCTCGGTGCAGGTGTGAACAGAGATGGTAACGCGTTACTGTAATCTGATTACTTTTTCAAGTAACGAGTAAAATAAGGGATTACTATTGCAAAAATGGTAATTAGATTACCATTACTTTCCCCACTGAATGTTGCATATAATTAAGATATAATTAAGATTAAAACTAATAAAACAAGTTTTAAAAAGAGACTTTTCCATTTGATTACATTTTGTATGATGATTATGCAGAAAAAGTAGAATTGGGCTGAAAGATCTATCGCTTTATCACCTATTCAGGTTGTAAATCGTGTTGTTAAAAAGTAACTAAGTAACTAATTACTTTTGAAAATAAGTAATCTGTAAAGTAACTGGATTACTTTTTGGGGGAAGTAATCAGTAATTAGTTACTGATTACTTTTTTCAAGTAACTGGACCAACACTGGGTGTGAACAGTGCTCAGAATTTCAAATCATTTCACAAACACCTGACTGCTTATTAACACTGCCGTGGTCCCTGGATCTCAGTCCAGGTTTCTTTTAGTTTTCTGAGTTTTCTTCAAATGGTTAGTTGTTCCCTAATCTCCACTATCCCTAACAGAAAGTAACATATAATATAATAATATAATATAATAATATATAATAATATATATTAATATTTAGACTTCAGCAATGTTGTCATTTGTAGCTGTTGAGATCGATGTCCGACCTCACACTTATTCCTGGATTCTCCGGTAAAGAGTTTTCAGTAGCTCATGTCAATATTTGTAGCCTTAAATATAAGATTCAGGAAATTCAGTCACTGTTGTCAACACATACGTTAAGTGTGCTGCTATTTCCGAGACTCATTCAGACGCTGCCTTTGACAATAATGAATTTGAGATAAAGGGTTATAAGTTGTATAGAGAGACAGAAACAGGCCGATACATTAATGAGAGCAAAGCAAACTACGAATGAATGTTTGACGATCTGGAAACTGTGGGCTCAGCTACACCCGCTCTGTGGCAGGCCTGTATTAGCAGGTTGCTGCTACAGTAGTTTTATGTTGTATGTAGAACGAATGTGTGAAATGCTGGAAAGAGTAACTGAGGAAAACAAAGACATGTTCTCATTAGGAGACTTTAATATCAGCTGGTCAGCTCCTTCTTGTCCTTTAGGGGAAAAGTTCATCAGCGTCGGCTTGTTGCCTGTCTCAGATCGTCAACATTCCCGCCTGGGTCAGGGTCAACGCAGGAGGTCATAGGTCATCATCATGCATTGATCACATATATACAAATGTTCCTGAGCATTGCTCTAATATTGTTTCTGTTCCAGTTGGTTATAGTGACCATAATCTTGTATGTTTGACCAAGAAAACCAAACCACTGAAAACTGCACAAAAGATTATTTTTCACAGATCATGGAAACATTTCAGTGCAGACAACGTAAAGGAAATTCACTGGACTGACATCTGCCTCGAGCGTCACCCTGATTATCTGTTTATTGAAAACGTTTGCTCCCTGGCTGACAAACAAAGGAGATGTACTGTTAAGAAGAACTTGGCTAGATAATGAACTCAAGGCTGCAATGTCAGAAAGAGAAATAGCAAAAGTCTGTGAGTTCACAAGAGCGGGCAAGATATTGCCAGTTAAGAAATCAAGTAACTAAATTGAATATGTGCAAGAAGAAAGAATATTATCAAGTTAAGCTCAAGGAGGCCAGTAAGGATGGAAAGAAGGTGTGGAAAGTTTTAAATAATATAACGGGTAGAGATCTTGCTCCGGTGGTGTCTCACATCTACACGGGTGGAACGTTTATAAGTAAAGCAAAGGCCAATTATTTTGTGAATTATTACAGCAATAAAATAACAAATTTAAAATCTAATATGAGCAGAGGCGATCCCACCTTATCACTTATACAGGATGTTATCATGAATAATGAGCAATGCTAATTTAAGTTTGAGGCAGTGAGTGTTGAGATGGTAGACGCTTATTGACATCACTTCCTGTCGATACATCCTCTGATAACACAGACAGTAAACTGCTCAAAGCTGCAGCCACGTTTGTGTCCCTTCATGTCACATATTTAATAGATCTTTGGCATGCAGCTTATTTCCACTGCAGTGGAAAGAATCGGAAATAATTCCTATTCCTAAAAACCAGAATGACGTTTTTAATGGTGCCAACAGCAGATTAGTCTGCTCTCCGTAGTATAATTATGGAGAGGATCGTCTATGAACAAATCCAACATCACCTAACAAAAATCAGTCACTCAGTTTCAACATGCTTACAAACCTGCTTATTCCACCAGCTCAGCTCTCAGTCACGTGACAGATAACTGGTATAAATATCTAGATGATGGGAACCTGGCCGGGTTGGTATTCGTGGACTTTAGTGCTGCATTTGATTTGATAAATCCTGATCTTTTGATAGATAAACTACAATGTTATGGATTTTCACCAGCTGCTTTGTGCTGATGGAAAGTTGTTTGTCTGGAAGGCAAAAGGTTTATTTTAATGGTTATTTCTCTGAGGGCTGTGAAATGAACTGGTCTACCCCAAGGCAGCCGCCTCGGTCCACTCCTCTGTTCAGTCTTCACCATGATCTGCCGTACGTCCTGGATAAATCTCATCTTGTAATGTATGCTGATGATTCCACCATGTTTTCAGCCAGTAGCTGCTCTGAACTGACCAGCGTATCACAACTAGATTTGCTGAACGTGTTTGACTGGATAAGTAAAAACAACATGATTTTAAACGTGTTTAAATCCATGTTAACAGGAAGTAGAGGACGCTTAGTCAACAGCCCACAGCTAAACCTTTCCATAGCTGGATCGGTATTAGAACAGGTCACCCAGGTTAAATTACTTGGTGTTACCATAAACCACCTTTCATGGTCTCAGCACATCAACTCTGATATTGAGAAAATGGGACAGGGCATAGCTGTAGCTAGGAAATGCTCCTTTTATATTACTTCTTCTGTTATGAAAGATGTCATTAGTGCACTAGTATTATCTCATCTGGAGTACTGCTCAATCATTTGGTCAGCAGCTAATAAGACAGATCTGAACTTCAGTTAGTCCAGAACAAGGCGGCCAGATTAGTGTTAAGCTGTTCATATTATACAAGTATTGATAAAATGCACGATAAACTTTCTTGGCTAAATGACACTATGGCTTACTTGTATTTTTAAAGAAAGCAACACTGGTAAACACACCACACTTTATGCTCAGTTGCAGCATCCAGATGAAATAATAATCATGCTACACGATTCTCAACTAACCACAATTTAGTAACTCCTCGAGTCAAAAGTAACTTTTTGAAAAACTCTGTTATATTCAGAGCATCAGTGGAATAAGTTGCCTTAAGCAATCAGAGAATTGGCTTCTATTCATAATTTTAAAAATCACCTAAAAGCCTATTTAAGCTGTTTTCAATTTATTTGTAAATGTTGTAAGAGGGTAACGTCACTTGTAATGGAAATTGTGTATTTTGTTTGAGTGTTTTTTATAATTTTTAATATTTACATGCTTATATTTTCAGAATTGTAAAACCTTATTGTGGATGTAAGAGACAAATGTTGTGGATATTTTGCATCCAACTCATTGTGTAACATTTTATTCGGTGGTATTTGATGGTTTCGGCCCCAGGAAGACGAGCAACCTGAAACACAGAACACGACCGGCGGAAAGCTACACAGTAGTGAGACAGACCAACAACAAGCAGGAGAACACACAGGGCTTAAATACACACAGGATCAATCAGGGAATGGGAGACAGGAGGGAAACACAGCTGGGAGAAATCAGAGCTGATGAGACAAGGGGGAAGCAAAACCACACAGGACACGGACTATCAAAGTAAAACAGGAAACAACAGGTATGCACAGACACCAGCTCAACACTAAAGCAACAGACATGGCAACAGGGACAGACACAGAGACACAGAAACCAAACTCTAAGAAGAGAAAATCCTAACAAGAATGAAACACAATAATAATCAGAAACAAAACCAGTCCACAGGCTCAGGACCACACATCACCCATCGTGTCATAAGACGACATTTCTTTTTCTCCTAAATGGAGAAAATGCACAAATGAACATTAAAAAAGAGAGAAAAACATTAAAACTGATGTTTTTTTCATTACACGTAACTGTGAATATGGATAACGTGTGGTATGATCGCACAGGATTTATTCATTTCCCTATGCTGGATCACTTTGTTATGGAAGTTTGTTTTCACCACTGACAAAAATATTTTTGTCGTTCACGAGCCAGAATTATTATTCCAAAATTGTCTCAGTTATGAACCATGTTTGGAGAAATTTGACATAGTAAATCAGCATTTTGAGATAAAAATCTGAAATGAAAGCTGCAAAAATGCTGTTTATTTATTAACAGAAAGACGTTTTCATACTTTCTTGATCAAAAATCTGTTACTGGTTTCAAAAAGTCAAATGACAGAGAAATATTTGAATCAATGGCATCTGTGCTTTTAAATCCTTGGAGTAAAGATTCAGTAATAATTTGTAATGATTTCATGAACAACAAGATAAGATGTGACCATCAAAGAGATCCTTAAACAGACGGAGACTTCATCTAAAAGCCAAAGCTGGAAGTGTTCTGCCCTCTTGTGGGGGAATTTAATAACACCATCGATGGGATTTTCAGCTGTTGAGCAGGTTATCACAGACTACCATATGAAACTGCACTAAACCTAATAAACCCACCGCGTTTGATGATGTAGTACAATCATAGTCAAAGGTTTTGTCACAAGGTTTGCTGGCAGTCTGCAGAATATTATCTCGAGTGATCGAATGCATGTGTTTCATCTTTGCCATAAAAATGAACATAATCCTGTAAAACCCGTTTCCACTGCCACAGATGGACTCTGACATCATTAGTGACCCTCTCATTAACACGGGTGAGTGTTGATAAGAACATGGCTTCTTCCTTTGTGAACTGGTCAGGGTCTACTTCATCCCAGTGGTTTAATCATCAGACGATTACTGCGAGGGTCCCTGCAGGTGTCTGCCTGTTTTTCTGACCGCACTGGTTTGTCTGTGGAGACCATTTGGGCGTCCTCCTCAGGTGGCGGACTTTAACTGTAAGCAGACTGCTTGGCTGTCAGTGTTTGTGTCCACAGTGGAGTGTAATCAAGCCCTTAGAATAGCAGACTGGATGCTTTAAACGGAGGGTAGTGTTTGAAATCATCGTCCGTCCTTTGTTAACCATAGTTACCTGCAAGGAAGCATGAGCAGTCATCGTTGCTTTGCATGAAAGGATACTGCTGCTAGTAGAAGTTCAGTTGTTGTGAAGAAGGCTTTCGTGTCTGCTGAAGGTAATTCAGCATCGGGGCACCAGCAGTGCAGAACGTGGTCAGGAGTGCAGCAGGCAAGGGCGAGTACATCTGCATGCACAGTGAAGCAAAGGCTTGTGGAGGATGGTCTGTTTTCAAGCAGGGCAAAGAAGTCGCAACAAAAACATGGAGGACAGACTGGCCTTTTCTCAGAAACATCCAGAAACATGGCTGTGCAGAGAGGAAACGGTGGAGTGCAGTAAAACACCCTGCTACCATTCATGTGAGGGGTTGCTTCCCATCCCAGGGAGCTGACTCACAATGTTGCCATGAAGAACACAGCCACAAATAAAGACTGGTACTAAAACACCCTCTGAGAGCAACTTCTCCCAGCCATCCAAGCAACTCCCAAGCCCCCTGACGTCCCCGTTTCCTCAGCCACCGGCCAGGCTTCCTGATGCACTCCATCTCCACTGCTGCTGGCGTTTTGTCTGGTCTCCTGGCAGAATCGCTTTTCCATCGATGCAGGTCTCATCCAGTAAATCGTCTCCTCAGATCTCCTGCCGAGCCTCACATGTCTGTGCTGGCCTCCAGGGTTCCTTCACCTATGTCGCTGGCTACCTGGCCAGCCTCCAGAGTTGCTCTATGTCTAATACATTAAAGTATTTATTCATTTTACATTTTTATTATTTATTATGGGCAGCATGTGCATGGTGGTGCAGAGTTTACCACCGTCACCTGGCTTCAGATCCACACTGGGGCCTTTTTGTATGGACTTTGTATTGTTCCCCATGGATACTCTGGCTTCCTACCGTAGTCCAAAGACATGTGTTTGGTTGGGTTAGTTAGTGTATCTGGATTGTCAATGTAAATGTGCACATGAATGGTTATGTGTCTCTATCCTTGTGACAGGCCAAGGTGTGATGCTACACAACTTCAAAAGCATCTCCAAAACTGCAGCTCTTGTGAGATGTTGTCAGTCTGCAGTGTTCAGGATCTATCAGAGGGGTTATGGGTGGCCAAGCCTCAGTCATGCACACCTGTCCCGCTCTTATTCACACATGTATTTTATTTGGCTTCTCCTGACTTTCGTTATTCTTGTCTCCAGAGCATCCCTCCACCTCTCCAGCTTCTCTTCCAGCTCCTCTCAGATCGCAGCATCATCTGCGAACATCATAGTCCCTTCATACCCGACCTCATCAGTCAACCTGCTCATCACCACTGCAAACAAGGGCAGGCTCAAAGCTGATCCTTGTAATCTCATGTCCACCTTGAACACATCTCTCATTCCCACTGCACACCTTACTACTGTCTTGTTGTCCTCATACTTCCCTGGCACTCCCGACTTCCTCCTGCAGTACCAAAGTGCCTCTCTTACTCTATTATATGTTTTCTTTAGATCTACAAAGAGACCTCTATATTTGCAGCACCGGCCTGCATCAGCAAACTCAAAGCAAACATCACACCTGTAGTGATTTTTCTTCGCATGAAGCGATTATATCAATTGCACAATGTCCACCCTAGAATATGAATACTGGGCAGCTGGTATAGGTTTGTTCATATGTTTCGTTTTAGGATTTCCATCGTGTGTTTTCTG